GTAACTTAGTATATGCATTCCAGAAGAATTACCTTTTGTTCTGCAAAATGGTACATTTTTAAAAAGCAAAACAAAACAGGCTTATGGGAAAAATAAGATTGAGGTAGATCATACAAAACCTGTGTAACTTGGTAAGCAGAGTACTAGCAAAAACAATATTGATGCCTCCACAAAATTTGAATAGGATGGCGGACAGGTGAGTGTGGCTGGAGGCTATCTTAGGGAATATTAAAAATAAAATCATGGGCCGGGCATAGTGCTCACGCCTGTAATCCCAGCACTTTGGGAGGCCGAGGGGGCAATCACGAGGTCAGAGATGGAGACCATCCTGGCTAACACGGTGAAACCCCATCTCTACTAAAAAAAAAAAAAACCCAAAAATTTAGCCAGGCGTGGGGGCAGGTGCCTGAATCCCAGCTACTCAGGAGGCTGAGGCAGGAGAATGGAGTGAACCTGGGAGGCAGAGCTTGCAGTGAGCCGAGATTGTGCCACTGCACTCCAGCCTGGGTGACAGAGCGAGGCTCCATCTCAAAAAAATAAAATAAAAATATAATTTTGGAGGTGGTGTGCACCTGTAGTCCCCAGCTACTCGGGAGGCTGACGTGGGAGGATCACTTGAGCCCAGGGAGTTTGAGGCTGTAGTGAGTCAAGATTGCACCACCCACTCCACCATGGGCGACAGAGTGAGAACCCTGTATTCAAAATTAAACAAATGAAAATAAAATGAAGTCATGGATTGAAAATGTTAGCCAGTGGGTTCTGATTCAGTGCAGATGATAGCAAGCTCTGAGCCAGTGGGACTGTTACTAAGTAGCGACTAGGAGAAAATGCAACCCAATAGAGTCATGGATCCACTTTGAGGCAAGAATTGCTGGTGTAGGGAGTTATTTAAACTTCTTTTATGAATAGATCTGGAAGCATTATCTACCTATATGATAACTGAGTTGATAACTTTCTTTTTCTTGATGAGGTTATAATTCTAATTTTAGCTTGTCTAATATTAACTAATACAGCTATAACATCATTCTGACATTATGTGTACCTTCTGTTTCTATAGATTTGTGTTTTGTGTACATTTTATGTAAATGGAATCATATATCAAGAGAAAAATTTTAACCTCTGTAAAATACTTTTATAAGTCTTATAACCACTGAATTATTTTATTCTTATTTAGAACATATCACATATGTATTCCCTTATTTATAGTTTCAAAACCCAAAGAATTTTGAAAATAGACTTTTAAAAAGTTTCTTGCCACAGCTAGAAATTACAGATTTAAGTACAGATTTAATCTCATGGCAGATTAGAAATTACAACCAGTAGAAGGAATGATTTTGCATGCTATAAAATTCACTTGTTAAAAAATGAGATGTAGCTGTTACCATAGTAACATTATATATGCATTCCAGAAAATACCTTTGTTCTGCAAAATGGTACATTTTTAAAAAGCAAAACAAAACAGGCTTATGGGAAAAATAAGATTGAGGTAGATCATACAAAACCTGTGTAACTTGGTAAGCAGAGTACTAGCAAAAACAATAATTGATGCCTCCACAAAATTTGAATAGGATTGGCAGACAGGTGAGTGTGGCTGGAGGCTATCTTAGGGAAATGTTATTGTGGCCATTGTTTTGAAATGAATACAGGGAAAATTGGTTTCTGTGACAAATATTTAAAAGAATATTATAAGTTGTTTCAATTTTCCATTTATTTGCAGGTGTGGATTTGCTGGAGAAACTGGTCCAAGATGTATAATTCCTAGTGTGATAAAAAGAGCTGGGATGCCTAAGGTATTTAAAAAAAAAAACAAATTAGCAAAATAAACACGGTACTATAAAATATTTTAAAATATGACTTCAAGTAAGATTGATTAAAACAGTACCAAAGGCCGGGCGTAGTGGCTCATGCCTGTAATCCCAGCACTTTGGGAGGCCGAGGCAGGTGGATCACCTGAGGTCAAGAGTTTGAGACCAGCCTGGCCAAGATGGTGAAACCCTGTCTCAACTAAAAATACAGAATTAGCCG